TATATCTTTATATCTAAGTATGTAAGTATTTATGACAGTATCTGACAGCATATATGGCAAGTAGATTTACTCAAGTACAGTACTTACGTACCCTCTTGAGGTTCTCCTACGTTTCAGAGAAAATATTGTACATTTATATATATATATACATACTTTGTTAAATATATCTAAAATATGACTGAACATTATTAAAAGTAGTTCAATTTAAGTAGTTGAAATGAATCAGCAGCAATATTAAAATACTGCTTACACTTGCATGAGTAATAATAACCCAGTGACTTTTACTCATACTACAATATTTACAACAACAACATGCATTTACTGTACATTCAATAACAGCTTATAGCTCTACATTGAAGCTACATGATGTTTGAACTAAGGAAACTTAACATAATGTAAAGTTGCACTGTTGTGCCTCAGACATATTTGGTATTTCTGGAAACTGAGCTCTTCACCAACATTTTAAATAAACTTCTGTGGGTTTGAACAATGCAGTTATGAATGACAATGGGGTTTAAACCCTTCAAATGTTCTGTTTAGGGTCGTCTTTAACAGCTTAAAAACATACTTAACATTGTGTTATCAGCTTGGCACTTTACTGACTTTAACTGATTTAAATTACATTTGCTTATAAACATGATTTTAAACTATTTTAGGGTATCTTCTGTACTTTTTTACGGAGCACTACTCCTCCAAAATCCCAAATAAGTGTTAATACTTGGATTAATGTTATAAGTTTGTTCATAAAAGCTCTAACAGGTCGACCTCTCTAACTCCAAACATAAGTTGTTTACTTTGTAGAATAACATCCAATCCACGTTACATGGTAAGAAACACAAAGGAACAGACAGACAAAAGGAATATATATAGTTTTCTTTTTTTAAAAGGTCCTTATATGATAAAAACTAATAAAAGGTAAGAAGAAAAAATATATACAAAGGACTTTTTTTTTTTGCACATTGCCTATTGGATTCTTCTCTGTACAGGTGAACTTTGCCATTTGAATTGTCTGCTGAGTTGATGTGAACAAAAACATGCGCTCACTCACACACACACACACACACACACACACACACACACACACACAGAAGAACCATGTTCCTCATCTTTCTGTCTTTCCCTCCCTCTCTCTCTCCCTCTGTGTGTCTCTCTCCGCCTCACACAGTAGCAGGCGGGCTCGCAGCCTACCAATGCGTTCAGTGAGGGGGGATTTGGCCGGGGCTCTAATCAATCACTGACAGATTACCTCCAAAGCCACTTCCACAGCCATTAAAGCAGGACAAATGCAGAATTGCAACCGAACAAGTTGGAGTTTTTAAGCCAACACCAGGACTTCCTGGTTATTTGTCAAAGTCACTGCCGCTGAGCCGCATGAGTGGCTGCACGAGTGTGTGGGGCTCAGAGGCAAGCCGGCCAGGCGTTCACATTGTGTGTGTGTGTGTGTGTGTGTGTCGGGGAGAATGAGGGAGAGAGCGAGAGACAGTAACAGAGTGAGTGAGTTATTGTTAGTGTGTGTTTTTATGCTCTCAGGTGTGTGTGTGTGTGTGTGTGTGTCTGTGTGTGTGTGTGTGTGTGTGTGTGTGTGTGTGTGTGTGTGTGTGTGTGTGTGTGCGTGTGTGTGCATGTATGCACGCCGTCGGCTGCTGCGTTGCTCTCGGCCCAGTGGAGCTTACAGTAAATCACATTCCCTTTATTGCCAAATTTAGCAGCTTATGCTCAAAAGGCTCTGCTCAAATCGACGCCGTGTCCCATCAGGGCGTTAGTCTGGGCTCATAAAAGTGGATTGGCCACACACACCACAGCCTCTGAGCAAAGACGACTCATCCCCTCTCCCTTTTTTTTTTTCCTACATTATTTCCCCTCTTCTTTATCTGAGCAACTGGAAACACTGTCTGGGCTTTTCTAATCTCCCCTTTTTCTCCCTCTGGATTTCCTGCTTTGAGATTGTCCCCCATTCACTGGGGCTTTGTTTATATCAGGCTATATTTGATAGAAGACACTAAGAAATTGGATATCATCATTTTCATAGCCTGTATTACCAGGGGAACACGGCCTATTCTAAATGTATTGTACAGTTTATAAAGACTGGACATTTTATCCTATAAGCTTTCTTCTTAACCAAATTGATTTTGACGTTTTTACGTCTTGGCAGACATGACGGGTTAAGTGCTGATAATTATTTGGGAGAGATGAATAAAAATATGAAATGTGTCTCGAGGAGGGTGGCATCAAAGCAGCCGGGGGGGTTTGTTGCATGTTTTCCCTCTTATACTGTGAATATGGAGCATTTGGAGTACAGGGTTTGATTAGTGTGACATTCAATGGGTCCTTTGATTAGGCACTTATTGTGGAAAACGCCTTTGTTTTTGCCTCGTGTTAAAAAACGCGCCTTGTACTTCATTTATAGCAGCGATTTCATAAAGAACACGTGAGGGATAATATCAAATCTAGTTTGTTTGTCCTCCTTTTTTTATTTTGAGAGCGTATGGGGGGGGACGCACAAAAAAGTGCAGTGGTGAAGTGATGAGGGCCGACACTGAAGTCCGCAGGCACTGGGGTTGAAATTTAGCTGGTCATGTGACTATGACTCCCCCCCCCACCACCACCACCGCCCTCCTCTCATGACCCCGGAGAGAGAAAGGAGGAAAAAACACCCCATACCAACACAGGAGGCGGGATTGTATTTGCACTTGTGTGTGTGTGTGTATCCTTTTTGTGCACTTGTGTGGGTGTCCACGCTGTGTGTGTATATATATATACGTGGTGTGTGTGTGTGTGTGTGTCCCCCCCCATTCAATTAAGAGCTTAAGCTCATTAGTGGCAGACTTACATCATTACCTCTCCAATGGCTAATGAGTTAAAATCTATTTAGATTTATGTTGCCGTTAAATCACCTCCACACACACACACACACACACACACACACACACACACACACACCCACACACACACACACACACACACAAATCAGAGAATGTGTCATAAAATTAAACCTGAAATCGTCCTGTGACTCTCCATAAGATTTTTCAGATCAACGTGGGAGCCTTTTATAGCAACACTGCATATTCAACACACTTGAATTATACCTTTGCCTTCGGTATGTAAATCAGAGAGGAGAGAGAGCGCGTTGGGTAATGTATCTGAACACTATAATGCGCTACAAAGCCCTGTTTTCCTCACTTAAACCTTAAAGACGCCAATTTAAGGCTTTTTTCCTAATTACTAACTAATAATTAGCGCTGCATCACAAAAAAAGAATAACACTTCTTTACAAAGCTATCACACAGCGATTAGTTGAGTTTTCAATCAATTCTAATTACGCTAACAAATCCTTGATTGCATTGCAGGCTTGACAAATTTAATGAATTGATGAAGGGGGGGGTGGAGAAAAGAAGACAATTAATACAAGACAATGGAGAGTGAAAGGTGGAGTTGTAGCTCTCAGTAATACAGAGCTCAGGCCTGCAGGATGGTTTAATCTGCTGAAGCCGGCGCTCTCATAAACAAAGACTGGGAAGAACAGCAGGTGGAGGAAGGAAACAATCCACTTTTCTACATATGCTGCTCACCAGTGACTCAAGGGCATCATGTTTGACTGCATGTGCACGTGCGCATGCGTGCGTTGACCTCAGCACAGGATGCATCCCCTCTCTCTCTCTCTCTCTCTCTCTCTCTCTATATATATATAGATATAGACATGAGTCTGTGTGCCATTTGCCCTCCACATTGTATTTACATCCTGCACCCTTTTATTAACCTCACCTTCAATCTGATTTGCCCACATTAGGAATGGTTTCAGTGCTACGCGCCGCTATCAACTTGTGGGGGTGATTAGGAACAATGAACTGACAGTTACTCCATCTTTGATGTCTTGTTTAAATCTGGTCTCCCCGCTGATGCTTTGATAACTCGCTAACTGGGACATTTTCATTCTAATTAGGGCTTCAATTGCTAATTCCATATTGCTGCTATAATTATCACTGGGAGATACGCAGACGCCGCAGTGAGATTTCGGGGCAGACGGGGAGGCGGGTGTGCAGATTTGCCCCTGTGTGCACTTCTGTGGGTTCCCAAGCTGTGGCTAGAGGGCTTCTTAAGGGTCCTCCAGTGCTCTATAGAAGGACTACAGCTTCATAGTCTTGAGGTGAGACCTAAAGTGTATCCTCTTTGGCTTTGCAGCTTGTGTCAGAAATTATTACAGAATTTTCCAAACATCAAACAACTTTAAGGAATAAAAAAAGCCTCTATGACTGATTAATAAATATTTTACATTATTATACACACCCAACCTAAATAAAAGGTCAATTTTAACAAGTGAATACCTCATTGAACTAAATATATTATAACTCTACTTGTCACAAATTCTCTTAAAGTGAATGTGCAGCAAAAAATAAATAAACGACTGTCTCACCTTTAATGTGTTAATTTGGGCAAGAAGTGACTGTTAAAGTGCTCATCTCCTGCAGTGCAGTGGCTCCTCACTCTGTCTCTGGCTCCCAAACACTCTCCTCTTTAACGCTTCATCTTTTCCCACCATTTGGACTCACTGTGTCAACCTCGCCACACAAACCAGACGCCCATAATAACCTTATGGGCAATAATTGGAATTGAGGATTTCTTTCTTGCCTTCTTTTTTTTTTTTTCCTCTTTTCTCTCTTCCCTTTTCTCCCCTCTCCTTTTACTCCCTTTTGTGCGCATGCGCAGTGGGGAGCGTGCTGGTCAGTGTGAGAAGCAGCTGTTCGGGGCTGGTGAAATTCCAACATGGCAGTAGTGGCTGTGGTCAGTGTTTTCCTGCGTTAACTTGGGATGGTTTCGGCTCGCACGCAACCGGGCTTAACCTCGGCACCCCGTTCCTCCGCAGAACCCCTCCCCGGGATCGATGCGACCCTAACCCCCGCCACGTGAGAGGTCGACCTGTCGCTAAAAAGCAGGTAAGGAAGGATAGTCTGCGTGTGGGGGGGGGGGGTGTTGAGGTAGGGGAGGAGGTGTAGGGTGGGGGGGGGTCCGCTGCGTCTGCAATTAGACAGAGTGGTCAGAGCAGACAGGCTCTCCGGGCTGCGCGTCTGTAGAGGAGAGGAGCTCCGAGCTGCGCCGTTTATCTCGGAATAATGCATGTGCACTTTGTGATTTAACAAGTTCCCCCCCGAATTGCAAACGATACCTGAGCGTGAATTGCTGCGTGCGGTTTTTTTTTCTCTCTCTCTCTCTCCTTCTCTCTTTTTCCTTTTTTTTTTTTTTTTTTAATGTGATTTTCAAGGAGCGCACCTGCGCCACGGTTTAAATCGCAGAGGCATGGACGCGCAGGCTGCATTATAAGGTTGCCTTGCCTTGCCTGTGTGTGTGTATGTGTGTGTGTGCGTGCGTGTGTGTGTCGGGCTGTGCTGCACCGCTTCTCTAAATAGGAGGAGATAAAAAAAAAAAAATACACAACTTGCAAGCACACGGAGGCTTTTTCCTTTTTCCAGGCTCTCTCTCTCTCTCTCTCTCTCTCTCTCTCTCTCTCTCTCTTGCGGCGATACGGTTACAACAAGTTGCCCTATGCACGCGTGCTAGAGAGCGGATACAATGTCACCGCAGCATGTATTTTTTAAAAGCTGGGACATTTTAGGGCGTTATCAAGAGATTTAACTTGCCTCGGCGATCATTTTTCTTTTTTTTGCAAACAACAGTCGGCCGGGCTGCACCAGTTGATTTGCTGCCTGTCATCCTCCGGGCTCCACTTTCTAATGAGATGCATGTAGGTTAGATGCTTCTCCTATTGAGTTGCTCGCTCCCAGACTCGAAGGGCCCACCTTTCACCACGGCTTGAAATCCGAGCAGCGCTGGACCAGACAAAGATATATATTTAAAAAAGAAAAAGAAAAAAAAAGTGTGTAATGTAAAGCTTCTTATCATTTTTTGGGGAATCCTTCCGCTTTTTTTTTTCTCTCTCTCTCTCTATCTCTCTGTCCACAAATTAATTCCTCGTCTCCTCTTCCTCTCCCTGCTCCAGAACGAGATGATCAGCAGCAGCAGCGTCTATGGTAGGTCGATTTTTCCATCAACTTGTGCACTTTTTTTTCCACAGAAGGTGTAAAAATACACAGAGGAGTTTCAGGAGGTGATGAAGGTGTGAGGTAAACATGCCCACACAGAGCCTTAAACTTAAAAAAAAAAAAAGGGTTTGGATTTTGACTGAAACTGACCATACTGTGTGTATATTCACGCCTTCGACTTGAATTAAGATTGTGTGTTAATTTGTTTTTCATGGGATAAATCTCCAGAATTGTAGCTGACATGTTTTAGCTTCATTTTGCATCTTTATGTTCACACACATAACACACACGCATTACCTTGTAATAAATAAAACAAGTGGGCTATGTTTAAATGACACATTTGCAGCCCCTAATGAGATTTTTTTTTTTTAAAGATATTCAAATCTGCTCTCAAATATTGTTCTTGAACTTTTTAAATACTCAAACCTGCAGATTAATACGAGAGATCTGATTGTTTTTGCTCATTTGTCTCACATACACACTCACGCAACTATGTGCATAATATTTATTGTATAAAAATACACAAATTCACTCGTCGTTTAACGGGAACGAGTGGCATTTGGAGGTAGTTGCATGTGATTGTGAGTCTCAGTGAGCAAGGCCTCAGCCACTGCAAACTCAAAATGCATATTTACAACCAGGATTAAATTTATCAGCTTCACTTTATTTCCTATTTCGTACTTTATTCCAATTCACTGATAATTATTAACATTATGCTGTGACAGAATTGTGCATCAAGAAACAGTGTTAATAAACAGCCTTAATGGCTGGAACCACAACTTGCTGCACAAATACACTCCACCTGGGTCCATTCAAATTTTTAGGTATTTAAAAAAAAAAAAAAAAAAACATCTTTCTGTGAAGCTGTTTTCTACCGGTTGCAGGAAACGTGTTCCACATTCACGCAGAACAATGGTGGATTGTTGAAATCCAAAATAACCATCCCACCCCTGTTGCAAGCCAGAGCGGATAGTTTTCTAATGAATAATCACGTCGGAAACCACAATGTGCGTTCTGTGCACGCGCAGGGCGAACTTCCACGATTGCACATTCTTGGTTTTTGTTGCAGTTATTAGTGAGGACTCGACCTTTCACCTTTGATCTCTCTCTCTCTCTCTCTCTCTCTCTCTCTCTCTCTCTCTCTCGTGCTCTCACACACAAACACACAGACTTATTTGCGTCACGTCATGTGCTGTTTCCTCCTTTTTTTCCGCTGCTGATGCGCTCCTTGTTTGCGTGTGTGTCGGTTTCACACATGCAGCATTTACTACCTTGTAAATGTTTTTTTGTGTTTATAGGGGCGCGCGTGAGTGTCCATATTGTCCAACTTTAACTGTCCGGAAAATAATGCCTCCACTTGAAACCTCAGCTACCTGAAATGATCTAAAATGACATATTACAGACACACAGGTATGCACTTATTTAACCAGCGCACAAGTGATGCATAAAATCCCACATTTTGTTAATAATTGACCTCTGAATCAGACCTGTGGATGTATGATTTCACTGGAGGACAGGTGAACAAGGTGCTGTTTTTTTGGTTAAATAAGAGAATTCTAGACAAACAAGGGGAGTGATGGGGTGCAGGAGTTTGTGTGTGCGTGTGTGTGTGTGTGTGTGTGTGTGTGTAAGAGTCTAGGAAGCCCGGGCGCAGCCACGCATGAGTCGGTTTTGTGTGTAATGTAAATAACGTAGATACTCAGTGGTTTGTTTATTCCTCTAAGTCTATTTGTTTGCTACAGTCCCCGGCTTAAGATCCGTCCCTCTGCATCCGCTGTCTGAGCGTGTTGCAGTGACAGTAGCAATAATCCCCCTCATTATACACATAACATATCGCCTCACATCTCTCCCGGCAGCCCCCGATACAGCTAATAGGGACAGAGAGAGGGGAGATAATAGGAATAGAAGAAAAACTGCTTTACAAACAGGCAACCCCTTTACTCTTGCCTTTATTTATCCAAATAGCGACTTTTCCCTCAAATGAATAGCGAGAGCCGGTGTGCTGCGAGGGTGGCTAAGCTACTCCCAGTGGGACCGTATAAATAAATTATCCTGACACTTTCTATCAGTCTGTAATGTTTACCATTAAAAGCTGTTTTACCGTCCCGGAGCCACCGGCGTGCGATCTAGCCTGGCCCCTTTGGGACTTCTGCCAGATGTAAGGACGATGTGGGGAAATATTGTGCTGTTTTAGACGCGCACACACACACACACACACACACACACACACTCAGAGAGACGTTTGTTAGTCTCTGCTGCATCCATATCAGTGGATTTCTCCTGTCTGCACGTCCTGACAAAAGGCCTCTTCAAACGAGATCCAGCCAGGGTTGTCATCTTTTAGCAAATATGTTAAGTGTTATCTTTTGTGCTCTGGGCTCGCTGAGCGGAGCTGGACCCCATGGGAGCCCGGCGCATGCAAATAGAACAAATCCCTCTCGGACCTGTCTTGTCTGTTTCACTCTCTCCATCTCTCTCTTCTGTCTTCTCATCTCCCACCCCACACACACACACACCCCCCCTTCTTCTCTCCACGTTTGCTCGACAGTGCGTCAGCCTGTCTTGTCTCCTTGCTCTCTCATCTATTTCACTCTTTGTCCACTTATTTCCCCTCCTCTCTCCTCTCTCTCTCTCTCTCTCTCTCTCTCTCTCTCTCTCTCTCTCTCTCTCTCTCCCCTCTCCCTCTCTGTCCCAGAAGACAGTGCTGGGGCTGTGTGTCAGCTAACTGTAGCGAGGCTGTTGTAAGTCTTTGTGTGTTTCCCTGCATGCTCGCTGACAGCCCCTCCTCGCTGATCTAAGTTCCTCTCCTGGAGACGGCAGGCAGCTGTCGGTAGTGCCGCTGCCCGAAACACGTTTCCCTCCGTAGATGAGTGGACGCCAATTCCTTAAAATCCTTGACACTGTGATCCACTCAATCCTCCTCCTCCTCCTCCTCCTCCTCCTCCTCCTCCTCCTCCCTTCCTGCTTCAGTGTTGGTACACTGGCTGCATTTTCTCTCCCTCAAATGGGGGTTTGGGATTTTGTTTTCTTGGGGGGGGGGCAGTGCTGCTGTGATGTGACTGACAGTTGCCGGTTGATGGATTTTTTCCTTCCATGTTGCAATTGAAGTTTTCTCAAACACACACACACACACACACACACGCGCACACAAACCATTTGCCCTCACACTCACACATTATACTCATTGTGCCCTCACGTCTTTCTCCCAGTGCTGACTGGTTATTATCCAGTCAGAATCTGATGGGTGTACTTAAGGCGAGTGGGTATCCACACAAGACCGACTCAGGAGTGGAATAATACTTCCAGCTTACTGCTGCGGACCCTGCTGTAACCTGTGATGCTTAATACCGAGATAATGCTTTTATGTAACACACAACACTTGAAAGATCATGGAGGTTTGATGAGGTTTTTGTGTGTGTGATGTTACTGAACCCATGTGTTTAGATATTGTAAAAAAAAAAAAAAAAAGTGTTAAATCCTGGATAAGAAATGTAAAATCGCCTGACAGCACTTTTTAAGTTAAAACAGATTTAAGAAAAGACATGAAATTAAAGTTGTAGTCTAAATAACAAGCATGTCAGTTCAGGTCCCAATAACAGCCAGGAACCTTTTTTTTGTTTTAGCCAAAACTGAAGATCAGTGTCACCAAATTTCCAGACTTTTCCAACCTCTTATTTCCATCTTCGAGGAGACATTCGGCTAAATTCATTTACATGTTAATTCCAGCATTAGAAGCATTATCTCACTTTCTTTGAACTCCGAATCCCCTCAAATGTTTGAAGTTTCTTTGGTTTATGTAATGCGTCATTTTCATAGGTTTTAATCAAATCAAAGCTGTAGATTTTTTCTCTCTCTCCCTCCTACCTTCTTTGCAATCCGCTGCCCCCTTTTTCTGAATTTTAAGCAGACCCCCGCTCACCTCCCTTTACTCTTTACCAGCAATCTCCACCACCCATGGCCCGGATTCTCTGGCAGATATTAAAACATTCAGCATGTGGAAGCGTTAAATATGCTAAGGACTTATTAAAAAAAGAAAAAAAAAATCTAACTTCCACTTTGGAATATTCCGCACCATTAGACCTCAATAGACATGGCGGCGTGCAGCTTATCCTTTACATTGTGCCTTCAAATGAGAAGGCGCCGTTTCTAATTAGGTTATTGCCATGGAAGTCTTAAGTTAAATTGTGCATTGATATGCGGAAACGCTCGCCAATCATTTGGCCCGACGATGGAGGACGCAGACGAGAGCCTTTTCCTTTTTTTTTTTATAGGGGCCAAAGAAAATGACAGCATGGAGAGAGGAAGGATCTGACTGTAATCTCTCGCCGCCGCTGCTCTTCTCTTTCTGGCTCTGGCTGGATGATCTGATTTTGTTAACAGAGAGCCTTGGCTAGATAGTGGCCGTCTGCTGCCACCGTCCCCCCACCTCCCCTCCCACCTCCCAACCCCCACCTCCCGTCTGCAGCTCAGTTTGAACGTCTTGATTAGCGAGGCATCTTCCGCGAGCGGCAAGTAAGCCGGGACACTTTAGTCTGCGAGGCGGCAAAAGGTGTGCGTGCGTGTTAATGAACAACGGCTCATTGGGTGTGAGGGAGATAATTTTGTGTGTGTGTGTGTGTGTGTGTGTGTGTGTGTGTGTGTGTGTGTGTGTGTGTGTGTGTGTGTGTGTGTTTGGGCTTGGCAGGCTGCCAGGGGATGGACACAAAGGATGTTGAGTGGCTGGGCGTGTGGCACAGCAACACTGAGCTGCCTGTGGCCTCTGGGAGATGGGCACAAACTGGGAGCGAGAGCAAAAAAACAACGGCTATCGCTACAAAGCTTCACATTTTGCAGCGTCTATTGTGGGGCTGCAACTAACAATTATGGTCTTTATCGATTAGGCTGCCAATTCTCTCTTACATTAATCACTTGGTCTGTGAAATGTCAGAAAAACAGTAAAAAAATACCAATCACAACTTTGGGAAGCAACAAATTCTCCAATTTGAGGA